TCTAACTACAAATAAAGTATTTCTGAAGAAAACTTAGCATCTTGAGATATACTATAAGTATAAAATATACACCAGATTTTAAAAAGTTAGTAAGAAAAAAGGAATACCAAGTATCTCAATAATTTTTATATCAACTTTTTTTTGAAATGATATTTCAGATATATTAGATTAAATAAAACATTATTTAGATTAATTTTACTTATTTGTTTTTATTTCCTTGATGAGGCTCTAGAAAATTATAAATTACATATGTGGCTTGCATTTTATTTCTGTTAGTACTACTATAGAGAGAAGAACTAAATTCTCTGCCTTGTTAATTATCTGACCTATTATAAACACTTGATCCAGAACTTAATTTCCACTTAATGTCATTTTTCCCTTCCAGATAGAGAAGCTATTCTGGAAGCAGATGCCAGACTGAAGGACCAACGTAAAGGAGCTGGACAGAAAGCTTTATACCACGCAGGCTTATTTTTATGGCACGTTGGTCGCCCTGAGAAGGCGAGAGAATATATTGACAGAATGATCAAAATGTCAGATGGTAGTAAAGAGGTAGCTGTTTTTCTTATTTTGAAGTAGTAACATTAAAGGAAGCTTATGTTATTGGTATATTCAGTAGTATTTGCAGTTTAGCTCTTTATTCTTGTCTACTGTATTCTCACTTTATAAATAACAGCTTTATTTTAATATTATGTTGTAAAATAGGGATTCTCTAAGGGTGTTTGTTTTTATATTGTTAACGCTTGAAAAGATCCCTCCTTGGTTCCTTCCCTCCCCTTTTTTCTTTTCCCTTCCTCCTCCTTCCTTCCCTCCTTATCTCTTTCCCTTGTTTCCTTCCTCTTTTCTTATTGAACAGCTCTAGATATAAGGTACAATTATTTATACTCTTAATAATGTAAAGATAAAGAATATATAAGCTTTACTTTCATGAATGAATCATCTAATAGTAGCATAGAGCATATACCCAGCTAATATTGTGAGAAAAATTACAAATGGTATGAGAGATGTGATTACAGTATTTAAGAAAGTAATAGCTAACATTTATTGTTTGCTTATTTTCTGCTAGGCATAATTTTAAATTAAGGAGAGATCACATCTGTAAGTGTTAGGAGAATGAGGAAGAATTTTTTGAAAAAAGTAGCATTTGGGCTAAAACTTGAAAAATGGATATAGTTTCAACAGGCAGAAATTATGGAAAAGGGAAGTAGATACTACCAAGGTGGGAGATAATAGATAGAAATGAGACATGTTGATTCTAGATGGGTACAGTGAGACCTCCTATCTAATGGAAACACAGGCTACATAGATGATGAGGGTGGAAGAAAATCTTGGAGAGGTACATTGGGACAAATTGAAGGATCTTAACTGCTATGTACAAATATTGTATCTAATTTGAAGGGCATTGAGATGCCATTGAAGATTTTTAATTGTGGGAGTGATATTAGAGTGCAAATCCAGAAGATTAATTTAATAATGGTTTGTGGGGTGAGCTAGCTTGGGGAGAAACTGGAATGCGGTAAAAAAATAAAAAAAGGAAAAGGTAGTACTTTCTGGCAGAAAATTTTGAGGGACTGCACTAAAATATTGTACAGTCATTACAAAGTTGAGAATTTTTAAATACCCATAAAACTCGTCAACTGATAGATAATAAGTAGTGAGGGAAGATAACAAGGTGTCACATATCAGGATGTCTTTGAGGCTTTAAGCCTAGATTATTCAGAGACCAGTTAACATAATAGAAAATACCTTGGAGACATTGTTTCTTCATATGTTTATTGGCCATTAGTCTATATTCTTTTGAAAAGCTTCTGTTCATGTCTTTTGCCCACTTTTTAATGGGTTTATTTGATGTTTTCTTGCTGATTTACTTGAGTTCTTTGTAGATTCTGGTTATGAGCCCTTTATCGGACGTATAGCAGGCATATATAAATAACCTTGGTATATTGACACTGACATAAACTATATAACTGTACTGTGCATTACAGTGATTGTTAACCACATGTGGCATTTGGGAACTTGAAATGTAGCTAGTTTGAGGAGAAAATCCCATTGTGTAGGTTGTCTACTTGCTCTATTGATTGTTTTCTTGCCTGTGCAGAAGCTTTTCAATTTTATCAGGTCCCATTTGTTTATTTTTGTTGTTGCTGTGATTGCCTATGGGGTCTTCTTCATAAATTTTTTACCGAGACCCATATCTATAAGAGTTTTTCCAGCCTCTTCTTCTAGAATTCTTATAGTTTCATGCCTTAGGTTTAAGTCTGTTATCAGTCGTGAATTAATTTTGGTGAGTGGTGAAAGGTGTGGATCCTGTTTTAGTCTTCTACATGTGGCTATCCAGTTTTCCCAGCACCATTTATTGAATAGGGATTCTTTTCCCTATTGTATGTTTTTGACATCTCTAATCATCAGGGAAGTGCAAATCAAAACAATGAGATATCACCTAACTCCAGTCAGAATGGCTTTTATCAAAAAGTCCCAAAACAACAGATGCTGGTGTGGATGCAGAGAGAAAGGAACACTTATACATTGTTGGTGGGACTACAAACTAGTTCAACCTCTATGAAAGTAGTATGGAGATACCTCAAAGAACTAAAAGTAGACTTACCATTTGATCCGACAATCCCACTACTGGGTATTTACTCAAAGGAAAAAAGGACATTTTATAAAAACACTTACACTCGAGTGTTTATAGCAGCACAATTCACAATCATAACGATGTGGAAACAACCCAAGTACCCATCAATACATGAGTGGATTAATAAAATGTACCATGGTACATGGTACATGGTACATTAATAAAATGGTACATATTAATGTACCATTAATAAAATATACCATGGAATATTACTCAGCCATAAGAAAATGGTAAACTAATAATACCTTTTGTAACAACCTGGATGGAATTAGAGACTATTCTCTTAAGTGAAGTATCACAAGAATGGAAAAACAAACACCACATGT